TGCTCCTGAGGACAGTGTCTTTGCTAAGGAAGACCCTGGGCTCAATGGGGTTGGCTCCTGCCCCCTTGTGGTCCAGAGTGTTCACGGTTATGGTGAGACCTCAGTCTTCATTCCCTCTTCAACTCCAACTCACTGAAAATTTTGATATTTGCCATTCTTATTCCTGAAAATACAAACCAAAGTTTCATCACATTTTTGAAATGCCCCCCCCTGAAAAAAGTAAAGAAGGTTGTTCTAAGGAAAGCTGTTTGAAATAGTAAAGGAGATTGCTAACTGGTGAGGCTTGGTGGTGTCCAGAGGCTCCAGTTTCCTTCCGAAGGAAACAGCCTCTTGGACAGTTCTATTGAGGCCAAGAGATGCCAGCTCAGCCTCGTCCTGGCTAGGAGCTTGGGCAGCGGCAGGGTTTCTCTGGGTCCTGGTTCCCTCTTCTGTGTGGCACAAGGATGGTATGAGATCACCCGCAGAGCAGGCTTAGCACAGAGAATGAGCCTCAACAAGTAAACGTCACACACACACACACACACACACACACACACACCATCCTCTAGGCAGCTGCCTATGAAGGAGAGGTCCTCATTCCACCCTCACCCTCTCTGGGAGCACCAGCCTGGGAAGCCCAGCCAAATTATAGCCTTTTCCCTTGAATGTCAGCTCAAACTCTACCTCCTCAAGGAGGTCTTTCCTCTGACACACACACCCCCCTCCATTGGCCATGTGTCCCCTCACAGGGCCATCTCCCAGCACCTCCATCTCCTCCACAGCTGGACCATACTTCATAATCATATGCTCAGTTGCAGGGATATTTGAAGACTCTCGGTCTCCCCGTGGGTATGTGAGCTCCATGAGGACAAGGACCCTGCCTGGCCACTTTCCCCTAGTCCCCCAGAGCCCATAGCACCTGGCACTTAGCCCTCTGATTTCAGCTGCTTTTTTTGTTGAATGAATGACACAGAAAAGCCACCATCTGAACTATCATGCACAAGCTCCCTCCAGGAACGTGACACAACCACAGTCACTCCAGCCACCCCATTCTAATTCCTGCCGTTTGTGAAAGTGCTCAACAGAGGTGCCTCCTTTATACATGGCACACTTCCTGTGTCCCAGGCACCATCTCAGGACACTCGTACTTTGTGTCATTTACTCCACCAGCTTCCCTGGCATACAGATGAAGTAGCTCAGAGACGTGAGGATAAGGATAAGGGCCATCGTAATAACATGGTTTTTGAGCAGTGATCCAAGCATGGTTCCCTTCAATCCTCACTGCAGCTCTGAGGTCTGCATTATTATCCTTTAACAGGCCTGGGAACTGAATCTGCCAAGATACAGAGTCAGGATTTGAACCCAAGTCTGTGTCACTTCAAAGCAAGTGCTCTTAATTGCATGTGATTCTGTATCAGGCTGGCTTCAAATCCAGTGCTCGCTCCCTGAGCAGGGCCCTCTGGTCTCTCTAAATCTGTTGTCCCTTGTCATGCATCAAGCTCTGAAAGTCTACACCCTTCACATCATCACTTCATTAGAATCCCTCCACATTGTCTTTTCACTAGACTCCATGGCTCTGAGTACCATGGCCAGTGATGAGGCAGGACTGACAGCCCCTCTCTATCCCCATGTTAAGACGCCCAAAGAGCCAAGGACAACAGATTTATTCCTCCCAACAGTACCCACTCTTCTCCAATTTTCATGACCAAAAAAAAAAAAAAAAAAAAAAAATCTAACCGGTTACACAAGACCAGGAAGGCTAGGAAAGTACATTGCAAAGTAATTGATATTCTACAAACACACCCAAGGGGAGCATAAATTCTGAGAAAGGATCTTACACGGGGGAGAGCCAACACCTTGAACTAAGGCTTTCAATACAATGGCTTACAAAGCCAGAGTGGATTGCCCAAGAATGGACCCAGGGCTTCTGTGAGATTTACAAAGGATGTTCCCATTGAGTGGAACCCTGCACATCCCCTGCAGCATGGGAGAAGAACATAGGAACAGTGACAAATGCCTTTGTCTCAGAGCTCATGTGGGGCCCAGTCTGTGTGGCTAAAGCCACAGAGAGAAAGTTGTAGGAGGGAAAGTTGAAGGCGGTGAGGTCAGAGAGGGCACAGGGGACCCTACTTGACCTGGGAGGCATTGCACAAAGTCTGGCTTTTGCTCATTGTGCAATAGGAAACTTTGGAGGGCTTTTAGCAGGACAGTGGCATGGTCTGACTTACATCTTAAAATGACTGCTCAGGCTGCTGTGTGGAAAAGAGACTGTAAGCGGGCAAGGTCGGAAGCTGAGAAACCAGTTAGGAAGCCTTTGCCATAACTTCAGGCCAAGATGGTGGTGGTGAATTCTCTCTGATCCCCAACTGCAGGGCCCCAAGGTAAACCTGACGTTTTGGCTTCAAGTCTCTCCATTCCCCTCCTGTAAATCTTAGCTGGAAAAATAAGGTCCATTCATCCATCCATC